GGGGGGGTGGAAGAGGGAGAGAGATGGAGAGAGAGAGGGAGGAGGGAGAAAGAGAGCGAGAAAGAGGGAGAGAGATAGAGCAATTAGAATAAGAACATTTTTTTAAGTCAGTAAAAAAAAATTGTTCCTTGTGATCTTGGGTCCTAAATTATTTCATTATAAATTAACCAAGAGATATGACTTTCAAATAACGACCATCTTTCTTTTCCAAACAATGTCTGAAACTATGATAGAAATATTGTTTCACAAATTAAATTTTCTACCCTGTGTTCATATTATTTATTTGAAAATTAAAGAGAATAATTGTCATTTGCTATTTGAAAGTTAGCCCAAGTCAGCATGGGTTGACTTTTCCATTTTTTACAATTATATAAAATAAACCATGTAAAACCAGCTATGGATTAAATCCACTCAATCTACTTGAATCAGATTAACATTTGCATATGTATTTCTTATTTTCATGAATAATTATAACAAACAGTTTTAATCTATGACTTCCAAATTAAGTGGATAGTTTGGGGAATATTTTGGAATATTTTTATTTAAATTTGTACTTATAGCAGGAAGAAAATGGGTGATGATGTGATGCATATTTTTCAGATTTCAATAAAATTGATCCTTTGAATTAATGAAAGAAAAGATACCATGCTTATACATCATAAAGGAAAAATCTTAAAGACTGTGTTTCATTTATGTAGTGTGTTATATCTCAGTTTAATATTTCTATGTCTTGGAAATATTTCACTTTAAAAGAATATAGAGTAAAAATTAAAAGTCTCTTGAATTCACAGATCCTTTTGGAATGTCTAATCTTACAAATTAAATTCCTAATTTGTTCCAGGGTAGAATGGATGAGGTCCTGGAGAGTGTGAAGTAAAACAATTGACATTTGTTGCTTGGTTGGGTTTTGTTGTTTTTCCTTTGAGTAAAAAAAAATATTCATTGAAATTTTTTCATGAACTTCAAAAAAGTCAACTTGTGGTTTGCCAGGCAGAAATGTAATAAATGCACTTTCAGAATCCCTTACAACAAAGAAGAATATAATAAAGGCTATTATTTTGGAACAAATGTAGCCTTTACTAAATGTTTTTATTATATATATATATTTTTTTCTGGTCATGGGGCCTGAACTCTGGGCCTGGGTGCTGTCTCTCAGCTCTTCAGCTCAAGGCTAGAACTCTACCACTTGAGCCACAGCCCAACTTCCAGCTTTTTCTTCTTATGTGGTGTTGAGGAATTGAACCCAGGGCCTCATGCATGACAGGCAAGCACTCTACCACTGAGCCACCTTCCCAGCCCCTTTGTAATATTTTTATGATCTTCACAACTTCATTGCAAACAAGATAATATCATTAGCTGAAATTTTGATGCATACTAAAGATTTAATATATATATACATATATCTGTCTATCTATCTATATATATATATAATTTGAGACACATTCAAGCTAATTAAGCCTTAATGAAGACTAAATTTTTCACATGAAAACAAGCTTCCCTCCATATGTATGTATATATGTATTATACATATATGTACTATACATATATGTATGTATTATACATAAATACAAAGAATAAACCATGGACACTTTATTGTAAAACAGATGTTATCTAGTATCTTTTATTTTAAAATAAAAAATCTGCTAAGAGTTTACTAGTTACAAATATTGGCTTCTTCAATCATATCGACATAAATAGATTCTGTATTAGGTATAGAGAAGCTGTGTGACTTTGCACAACTATCTTAGAGCTCAACTATAGTTTCTTCCTTAGCAAACTAATTGTGACCTTTATGCTACTGTGCTATTGCTGTGAGAGTAAGAATCTGTTTAAAAGTGGTTTGTCCTGCTCTCTATTTCCTCACTGTTATCTATGGGAAGGGAATTCCCACAATAGAAATTTTCTCAATGCCCTGAGGAAAGTAGTGTTAAAGCTTATGAAAGCTATATTTAAGTTAAGTTAAAATGCGAAACACAACATAATAAATAATCAAGGATTATTTTTCTCCTTTTGCCTTCTTTTAGTCTGTTTTTTTCCTATCCTTCTTTCTTTTTCATTCCTTTTCCTCTTTCTTTTTTATTATTTTTGTTTACACTTGCAGTAGAAACCCCAGAGGTTCTTTTTATATAGTATATTAATCTCTGTTAGTAATACTCTGTTAAAAAAATAAAATAAAAGCAATAATATTTTGGAATCTAACTGTAGATTTCCAGTCAGACAGTGACAGCTTTAATCCTACCCTGTGGGAAGAACAGAGACAACAACGCATGACTGTTGCCTTTGAATTTGAGGAAAAAAAAGAAGATGATGAAGGTGCTGGGAAAGTTAAGGTAAACCCTTTCGCCTTTGTTTCTCCATTCTTCTCTTAATTCTCTTTTGCTTGTCCATTATTTCTCTTCAGATAGATCTGTAGACAAATTAAATGACTTCTGTTGGAAGGTTAAATGGCACCTTGAAGTCTGATGGTGGTAATTTTCATTATGGCAGACTGGTAGTTTGTGAAGCATTGGTGAGATTCAGAATGAAACTCATGCCCCAATGCTGACTGAGCAAGTTTGATAAGCCCCCATCCCTGCCTCTGCCCTACCCTACAGAGAACAGCTTGAGAGAGATTCAAGCTGACAGAAAGTTAAAATAAACCTTGGTGACAAACTTCACCTACACACATTATTTCATCTTGAACATACTGAAACAATATTTTTAAACACTAAGCAAGACATTATGCAGAAACGGCTCCTAGTTAACATGTTCAGTGCCTTTAAAACTCTGGAAGTTTCTGTGTCCCTGGGATATTTGAGAATAATTTATGAGTTTTCTTAAATTTGAAGAGAACTTTGAAATGTGGGTACCTAATAGTATGGGAGTGTTCCTTAGGGAAAACAGCCTTTTTTCTTTATCCCAGGACACATTTTCTTAAGTACTTTTTGCGACTAATTTAAGTCAACTAACAAAGTTAAAGCTTAAAATCTGTAGTTTTCCATTATTTAAATTGTGAAATGTCATCAGAATTGACTTAGATTTTGCTAACACACAATTTTTATGTTATTGTCATGGTAACACCTTGAATCTCTCATTAACTTTTTATAGCATTTGTGTACCTTTTCCATCATGGGTACTAACAGTTCTCACTCTTAATAACTCATTTAAGTAATTGTATATGTATCCTATTCATAAATATAGATTGTGTGATAATAACTAATTACCTAAGAAATGGGTATATGCATCCTATTTATAAATTTAGATTTGCATAATGTGTTCTCTGTTTCCCCCTTGTCTACTTTTTCTAAACATTATTTCTTAAACTATTATTTCTAGAACCTTACTTTGTAAGGTAACAGAGCATTTACCAATAAGGCCTATCTACATCTTTATGCAAAATCCAAACTAGACTGACAAATTCAAAGTGACAATTTTTTGGTAAGCATTTGGGTTTAAAAAAATGTTTCTGGATGGTTGGTTATTGTCACTTATCAACCAAAGAGACAATTTTTTAACTTGAAAATTCCCAGAAATAAACCAAAAAGTTGGAACATTTTGTTCCATTTTAGTTCATATGTTATGTCTAGAATCAATGGAAAATGCATTCTATATTGGATTGCTGGTTCATTTTTATATTTCATTGAATTGTCAAAAGCCACATGCTTTTTCTTAAAAAGCTACGTTCAAAGCATCCAAAAATAGAGTGCATTTATAAATTCTGGTGTATGTGTTGATGAAAACATAAAATATAGAAATGGAAACAGTTATTTAGAAGCCCTGTTTGTGTGTTATGTGGTTAGGTTTGTTTATAATCAAAGTAAGTTCATTATACTTTAGAGTGTTTTCTCTCCATGTGTGTTCTATTTGGTTTATTTATATTTTGGTAAAACAATATGTTTTTCCAAAAATTTCTTTAACGACTTGGCTTGGACTAATTTGTATATTCCCAATGCCAAGGGCTATTGGACAAATTAGAGCACAAACAAACTTCTAAATAAATCATCATGGGAATATGATGAATGAAATATATTGAAATTGTATATTAAATTAATTGCACTTTTCTGGTTCATTACATGTACATTCAATTTAGCACCATTTTACCTTAAATTTACATGATATTTAAGAAGGACTTTTTAAATGGACTAGAGTATAATGCCCTACTTACAATGTAATAGTGTAGTGTGAGTCTGCAGTGCGTGAAGCAGTTGTGACCATGACAGCTTCATGTGAGATTGGTACTGTCTTATGACATGCATTTAACACTCTTTTGAATGATGGTCATTTTAAATATACTACCCAGATGAAACAAAAAAAAAGAGTAGAAAAATGATAAAGTGAAAGTATTGCTACAGTGCTCCTCTTTCTCCCAGAAAATGGAGATTCCTTCTCCCACAGGATCTGTCCTGCCAAGCCCCCTGGGACAGGGGCCAGCGTGGGATTACTCTCCAACCTGCCAGACTGTCTGGCGATTGCTGCACACCATGGGCCAGGTGTGATCAGCAGATTCAAGATTTGCCCGTCCCCCAGAATGACCCACAGCTGGCATGGGGTTGTATAAGTGGCCTCCAGCAGGAGAGGAGCATGTGTACTCCATTGCCAGTTGCAGCACAATCCACCACTCTTCCCTCTCTAAGTGGCAGACAGGTAGGCCTAGGTGTTTGGGGTAGGAGAATTCCCATTAGAGGCAACCTTGGAACAGTGGTTTATGGGGTATGTTCTGCATGATTTGGGGTAATAAAAAATGTCAATCACATTAAACCCCTCAGATTGCCAGCATTTGATACCAATTTCATTTCCTTTTTTTTTTGCTTACTGATACTGGTAAGAGGTGGGGTGGATTGAGTCAGACGGGGGGGAATCATGCGAGGCTTCTGTTGGTGGGGATACTGCCATAGGCTTTGTTTTGTTTTGTTTTTTAAATTGGGTGGTCCATTCTTACTTACATTTTTTTCTTTTAATTTAAAAATGTGGGAATACCAATAGTTGGGCAGAAGGTTGATAGCAGTATTGGTGGCCTCAAAATTGTCCTCCTGATGCATGAGAAGTGTTAGTTCTGGGAAGATTAAGTAGCTAAAGCTTGCTTCTTAAAATAGCATGAGTTTAAATTGAGATTTGCTGAGAGTGGACTTTGGACACAAAGATAGACATCTGTTGAAAAGCATCAGTTTCCTTTAATTTGAAGACACAGATGGTATGAATTCCTGTAAGAGAAGATCGGGTTGGCAGTTATGGCAAATAGAAATTGCTCATCCCAGTGGGTGGGTGGTTAAGAAGTTAATGGGAAGAAAAATATGTCTTCATGAAATATGTTAGAATGCTGCATTTTTTTGTAAATTTTACCATCCACATGTAATGGACTAGATTCTTATTCTATGTCTTATATTCCATATAAGACAAGCTGATAATGCAATTTCTTCACTGAAAATGCTGTTTCCTTTCTCTGTAAAACAGTCTGGTTAATTCCTGGAATGTAATGTTTAATAATCAGTGTCAAAACACCATTATTTCTCTTACTGGAATTTACAATCAAACTAGAATTTAATCATTCTGTGAAATATATTATATTAAGCAAGTTTAATATAATATATGAGAAACAGTTCAATATGAACTCAAGATATCATTTCTAAATTCCTAAGCGTTCACTATTAAGCAATTCTTTCTGTGTTACTGAATTGGGGGTAGAGGTTCCAGCGTCTTGCAGCTGCTGTTTGCATTTACTAAACTTTATTTAGATTTGAGATACGTAGAATGTTGCAAAAACATTTCTATTTTCCAAAATTAAAATAAAATAATATTTTAGTAAAACTCTTGTATTCTAATGATATGTATATGTGACATGAGCAAATACTTTATAGTGAGTGATAAATATAGAGAGACAAAAATATAACAGTAGATATTCTCAGTTTTACATATAAGAAATTAATTTATATAATTAATTATATATTAATTTTTATATATTATGAGGGAATATTTGCTCCCTATAGATGCAAAAGCATAAAGAAACTGCTTCTGTTTCTGAGTATCACTAAAATATTAACATAACTGTTTGTGATCATGTTTATTCATTTCCAAAATACTGAGAATTGAAAAGTAGGGAAACAATCTGTAAAATGGCATCAATATGGGGCTGGGAAGGTGGCTCAGTGGTAGAGTGCTTGCCTTGCATGGATAAGGCCCTGGGTTCAATTCCTCAGCACCACATAAGCAGAAAAAGCCGGAAGTGGCACTGTGGCTCAAGTGGTAGAGTGCTAGCCTTGAGCTGAAGAGCTGAGGGACAGCGCCCAGGCCCAGAGTTCAGACCCCACAACCAACAACAAAAAAAAAAAAATGGCATCAATATGCTTGAACAGAGCTTTCAAAAATTATAAAAGTAATATAATTTCATCTCAAACAAATCATTAAACTGTACTTATTTGGTTTACTTTTTAATGAACTTAAGGAGTGGTGCACCTGTTATCCCCATCAACACCAGAAAGCACCAGTAGGAGAATATCAGGCCAAGCCATCTTGGGTATAAAGTGAGGTCCTATCTCAAGAATAACCAGGAAAAACAATAGCTGAGGCATGGCTGATGTGCTAAAGTGCCTGAGTTCAATCCCCAGTGCTTTAAAAAAAAAAAAAAAAAACCTTGAGGTCATCTTAGTATTTAACTAAGTAAAATTTACATTTTAGACTTAGAGTATTTCTTCCACAAGCTGATACATGTATGCACTGCCGCTGCACCAGGGAATAAATCTTAAGAGCTAAGTAACCCTGGTATGCCATAAACCTTGAAGTCAGATAAACCTGAGTTTTATATTACCTTAATTATACTATCTAAGCCTTAATTTTCTTTGTGTAAAATAGCCACAATTAATTATTCATTCTATTATAATTAACAAATAATTGTTAATTATTTAGCAAATAAATAGTAAATTATATTTAAACTTAGAGGAGGAATTAAAAATAGTATTATATTATACAATTAATAATAAATATCACTACTATTAAACATTTATTATGATACCATGAACATGATAGATAATAAATTATAACTGCTGCTGCATTAAGTTTTCAGGAAAAAAGTTTAAACAATTGCAAATTTTACAGATTAGCTATATAGCAAAGGAAATCCAGATTTTAAAACCTTGTAAAGCCAAATATGATGTTAGATAGCTAATCTCTACCTAGAGCTTACCAATTTTCAAAAGGCTTTCACATTTATCTCATTTTAGCTTTAACCTAAATATTTTGGAAAGGATATCATCATTTCTATTTTTCATGAGTAGAAATGACATATTAGCAGATTGGATTAAACCCTTAGCTGGAATTTACACTTTCTGATTCTAGGCCCAATGACTTCAATGAGAAAACCAGTTCATAGGAAGCAATGAGCTGATTTTCTAGGTGAAACAAATCAAATTTTATGAGACCTGAGAGTCCAAAATCTGGGAAAAGGCCACTTTTGGGGAAACCATATAAGATGACCACATAAAACAAACAAATAAACAAACAGGGTACCTCACAAGGCTGTGGAAGAAATGGGTAAAGTGACAGGCCCTAAAATTTAAGCTCCAACAGCTTCATGGTAAATGTTTCTGTATTAGAAGTTTTCACAGAAACAAAAGGCTTAAAGGCATTCTAGTGATAAGACTGGTTAAAATAACCAGGAACCATTACAATCATGACCATCAGTAAATAGTTGTCTAATTGTGTCACATAGGATCTAGCATCTATTAAAAGTAAATTATATTATTCAATGAAGTATCTCATGCAATGAAAAAAATTCTCACAATTCTTTTACTGAGGACTTTTAAGTTGCATAGAATTTTAGTTTAATGCCTTCCTTTAGACTTTTTTTCTTCACTCATATGCCATGATTATTTTTTAAATAATGTTCTTTGTGCCACAATAGTCATACCATAGTATAATTTACATTTTTTTGGGGGGTGGGTCCAGTCGTGGGGCCTGAACTCTGGGCCTGGGCCCTGTCCCTCAGCTCTTCAGCTCAAGGCTACCACTTGAGCAATAGTGCCACTTCCGGCTTTTTCCTTTTTGCTGTGGTGCTGAGGAATCAAACCCAGGGCCTCATGCGTGCAAGGCAAGTGCTCTACCACTGAGCCACCTTCCCAGCCCCTAATTTACATTTTTACAACACAGTATGTGAATTAAAGCTCTTTTATGTCAACTTTTTTCATCAAGCTCAGCAATCTAATTTGAAAATTAGATTAGATACATGATGAATGTTTCTAATATCAGTTGAAACAGCAAGTCCATGAATGCATGCACCCAGTGCACTTTTTCTAGCACAAATATCATTGAGTTTTGTTTTTGTTTATTTAAGATTGCATTATAAATTAACTCCCCAGGGATATATTAATAGTACACCCTAACAACTTATTATACTTTATGTCTGCAAAGTCTAATTTTATCTTGGATTATTATAGCTCTAAATCTACTATAAATTAGTAATTTTATTCTAATTTATTTGAGAGTGGAAAAGAGATTGGGCTGAATTTAGATGACATGTTAGCCAAAATCTAGATTTTGGTATGTTTTCCAAGTGTGTATTGGAAAGATAATTTTATATTTTTTTATGAACTGCATGTTAGAAATCATATAACAAAGTGCAATCTTGATGTTTCATTAGGAAAATGAGCCAAAGGAAGACAAAAACACTTGAAAGAAAGGCAAAGCACAGTTGGTGGATTTACTAAAACTGCAGATGAGCAAAAGTGTTTGAAATCTCATTCATACTCTTCAGGTCTATTCCACCATCATAGTCTTTTACATGCTATGTATTACATAGGTGTAATTTCTCTTTTCTTCTGTTCCCCACTCTGCCTTCCACCTTCAATTCTCTTCTACTTTTTCTGCTCACACCCCCCACCTTCATACGCAATTATCCACAGCCACATAAATCATTCCATTTTGAAAAGTTGATTCTGCTCAGATTCAAAAAGACAGGACTGTTGGAACAAGGTAGGCCAGATAAATCTGCCTATTTTCCTCCACTCACTCAATCAGCATGGACAACTTATTCCACTTTAAATATACTAAATAATGCAATGGTAGGATATTCTGTATGACTCAATTCTGTACTAAAAGTAGATATTATTATGTATTCCAGAAAGCCAGATTGGTACCCCAGAGTGAATCAAAAATGGGAATAGCTAAATAAACACAAACTAAACTTTGTATATTTACCTACAATACCTTAGAAAATAGCCTCATTTTTTGTTTCCTTTAGCTAAAAGATATTACCCAAGAAGCATGTTATTTTATTAAAGCTAAAACCAAATATAAAAGCCTTCCAGATCATTTTTCTTACATATTAATATCAATTAGATCATTCTACTTTTGATGAAACATGCAATTAAGTATTTAGGCTAATTCATATTTGGGTAGCAGTTAGGCCAGTTCTACATTCTTTCATTGTACAACTCTATTTGTAGCTCTTTTTCCCATTACCTGAATTTATTCTCCAAGGATATTCTTAATATCAAAATTATGATTTATAATAATTAAAATAGGGAAGGATGAAAGCACTGGATAAATTGACTAAAGTTTTCAGAGATTAATAACTTGACCTAAAGCTATTTGAACCATGCAAAGAATAGGTAGCCATTTGGAGATGATATAATCCAAAACTTATTCATAATCTAGAAGTGTGGGAAGTAATGGGGTAAAGTCCCATGAGACTAAGCAGGAGAACACATAGTGTTCTACTCAGTAGCAGTTTTTCAGCCAGCTCAACACTCACTGTATTGCATTTGGTTATACTTCTGCACATAAGATGGAGTAGCTTTCTAAACATGCTTGCTGAAGTGATTTTTTTATGTTAAATTTCTTTTTACAAACTTCTAGGTTGAAATAAACCTAAAACGATATCCAACTCCTTACCCAGAGGATTTAAAGAATATGGTAAAATCTGTTCAAAATCTGGTGGGTAAGCCAAGCCATGGAGTGCGTGTTGAGAATTCAAACCCAACTGCTAACACGGAGCAAACTGTGAAAGAAAAATTTGAACACAAGTGGCCGGTAGCGCCCAAGGAGATTACAGTGGAGGTATTTGAAGGTTATTGGTAATTGCTAGTGTGGTTTGGATTTTTTGGAATTCTAAATGGTACGTTTTTAAAAACACAATGTATCTTCCTTGATAAGTGCATTTCTTCCTAAAATATAAATGATCTTTCTATGCCTTCAAATTATGAGGGTTGTGTTTGATAATTCAAAGATGCATGATACCCTCATAGCCTAAAAATCATTACTACACCTCCGAAAGTTCTAGTACACACAGATTGAATAGCTTGTCCCCTACCTTGGCCTAGACAGTAAATGCGTTCCATCAGTGGTATTATTTTGGCTGCTCCAAATTTTTATTGTATCAGTTGTTAGAAAAAGCTCTGAGGATATTTCATTTGGCAATTTTCAGTGAACTTCCTACTTAGGTATAGAGAAAAAATTTTACATTTGTGTGTGTGTGTGTGTGTGTTGGGTAGTCTCTTTGTAGAAAACATGACTATTAACACCAAAATAGGGGGATGACAGAAACATAGAGGTTTATGGAATCTAGATGTGAAAAGTCTAAATCCTATATTTCAGAATAAGTCAGAAGTCCATCTTCACTGATTTGAGTGGTCTGAAAAGAATTCAACTACATTTATGCCACCTCTACTCTCCCATCAATTCTTCAACTAACTTAGTTACCATCTTTTATCATCACTAAAAACATAATTGGTATGAGTATGCCTGTAAACTCATATTACTCCTCTAAAACCTAGATTGATAAAACTCTTTTACAGATCTGCATTTCAAAGCATCAATTTGTTGCATTCATTGATCACCAACTATGTGTTGCACTGTGCTAAACACTGTGAGAGAAAAATGAAAAAGAAATTAAAAATGTGACCTTAGTCCTCAAATAATATAAGCCTAGCTAGATGAACATAACATACAAGTGACCAATGAATATATAGGAAAATGTGTGGTCAAGAATTTGATGCCTTATTAAAAGATTGAGATTGAAGAATGATTTGAATTCTACAAGTTATAAATTCATGACTTTGTTTTTTCTGGGAGCATGGCTCAAATGGTATAGCGTGCCTGCTTAGGAAACAGAAGGCCTTGAATTCAAAATGATAATGAGGGGAAAGTGTTGCAGAAGAAGGAAAGACTCTAGTAAAGTTAAGCAGAGAAAGCAGAGGTGTCTGCCCTGGAAAAATAGATTGTGCCTGCATAGCTAAGGAAGTAAATTTAAGTATTCGTTTTTCGCCTGTAAAACAAATATTATTGTCCTTTTTTATTTTCTAAAATATTGCACATATGCTATAAGCAGGTTTGTATTTCACTAAGATATTACTGCAATGTAAAAGGGGAAGCAAAAATACTTAGCAGGTACCCACATATATACTTTATATTTAAATGTCAGGCAAGCACAGTTCAATCTCAAAATAGCTGTGTGATCATGAAAGTCTACCTGATAAATAAATTTACTATAATAACAAGATCCTAAAATTGCTTTTAGGATTAGGATAGGTGAAGCAGGAGAAAGATGACTTGTGTCTCTAAAGGCTTTTATTCTTTATTATGTCACCTTGAAACTTTATCATAAGTGCCTCATATTAAACAACATTATTTTGAAAGTCTATGAAAAACGCTGGTTTATCTCTTCAGCCTCAGGATATTCATCAAGCCAGTCTCTCTCTGATCTCTCTTCAAGACTGATTCTACATTTTGGGTTCCTCAGGTTCCCTCACCAAGACATAGCACAATATAAGGAAGATAGACTAGGTCCAGATGCTACTTCCATGCAGGATTGTTGTTTTATTAACAGAGAATCTCAGCCTGAAATAGCTCCAGGAATATACATCCAGACAACAAAACAATTGGACTAAAAGATCTGTCATATTGTACTGATTTTTTTTTGTTGGTAGTGGGGCTTGAACTCTGGGCCTACGTGCTGTCTTTAGCTCTACAGCTCAAAGCGAGCACTCTACCACTAGAGCTACAGCACCACTTCAGGTTTTCTGGTAGTTTAATGGAGATAAGAGTCACACAGACTTTCCTGCCTGGGCTGGCTTTAAACTGCAATCCTCAGATCTCAGCCTCCTGAGTAGCTAGGATTATAGGTGTGAGCCACTGGTGCCTGGTGGCTTTTTAAAAAAAAATAATTTTCAGATTGAAATTTTTATTATACTTTTATTTTCTTTAAGTAGTTGTATAAAGGAGTTGCCATTCAACAGAGCAATGTATGAAGATAGGATATCTTAATCAATGTCACCTCTTTTAATATTCTCATCCAGTACTCCCACCCTTCAAATATTTTCATACAAACCTAACCCCTTCTTTAAAAAGTCCAAAAGATAAAAGGTGATCAAGAACTAAGGAAATGTACTATATATATTTTCCTACATTACCCCTCAACCTGAGCCTGTAATCTTGGAGATATATAAACTTTTCACTAAGAGTTTCAATCAATTACTTCTTCTCCTTTTGAATTTCTGATACTTTTGGCCAATGATACTATTTCACTGATTTAACAAAATACTTCTATGTATGTTAGGTTAGTGTTCCAAACTGATAAGACATAAATACAAGGAAACAAACATAAATTTTCCTTGGAACTTGAATTAGCATAAAACTAAAAGACATTCAGGTAGCTGTCACACGTAAAATTACATAAGACATTTTTGTGTTAAAAGAAAATGAGAATTTAACATTTTGTCTTCCCTAATGTTCTTCTACTGCCTGGTTAACTGGGAAGAATGAATTGAATTATACAAGTTCAAAATTCATGGCTTTTTGTTCTACAGGGAGCATGACTCAAATTGCATAGAGCACCTGCCTACTAAGTGCAAGGCCCTGAACTCAAGCACGGCTAATGTAAATAATAATAATAACCCAGGCATTGGTGGTTCATGCCTCTAATCCAAGCTACTCAGAAGGCTGAGATCTGAGAATCTGGGCAGAAAAGTCAGTGAGATTCTTATCTCCAATTAATCATAGAAAAATCTGAAAGTATACTGTAGCTCAAGTAGTAGAGTGCTAGCCTTGAGCAAAAGGAGCTAAGGGACAGTGCCCAGGCACAAAGTTCAAGCCCCAAGACCAGCAAAAAAAAATAGTTTTTGTTTTTGTTTAACAGGTTCGTTCACTTGGCACTCTGAAGTTATGTTCTGTCCCACCTTCACTGGGTGGATGGCTATCGAATAAAGACCTAGTAGGCTTCACTGGTCATAAGAAAACTAGAAACCTTAGGGAAAAGTCATGCTAGAACTAAATAATTGAGAAGACAATCACCAGGAAACTGTAGGAACAATCATTAGGAAACTGGAAGGACGAATAGGAAGAATGGCAGAAAGCACAGGCATAGGGCTGGTAGCTCATTAATGTGGCAAGGGGAATACATATATATAGTCAATGATATGGTTGCACTTAGAACTCTGAGTTCATTACTTGGAATTCTGTGTATATAGTATAGATCATTATGAATCACACTATTCACAGAGGGCTTCCCATAATTCAGTGCTCTATTAAGATGAGTTCTACTTCATCTCTGAATGATGTTATAGATTTCCAGAGAGCCACATTTTATCTTTCTTTGGGACCTCCACAGTTCTTTGCACAGTGCCAGGCATATAAACAACTTTTTTAAAGTCTAATAAATAAATGGACTCGCATTGGGAAAAAAAATAGTGTGTTACTTAGAAATATATATGGTTCATCTTCCCTGATGCCCCAGGGTAAATTACATCTTCCAATCACATCTTTGAGTCTGAACCAAATAAAGATATTGCCATCTTGGTTAACCGCTGTTTAAATGTTTACTTTCCTTGTCCTGTATTATTATATCTCTCAGGATTCTTTTGTTCATCCAGCTAATGAAATGAGGATTGGGGAACTTCACCCTTCATTAGCTGAGACCCCTCTGTACCCACCCAAACTTGTTCTGCTAGGGAAGGACAAAAAAGGTAACATTGTGAAGCTGATGTGAAAAATACGCTGCAAATGCATGTGCATGATGAACCACCGGTTGTAATTTTATGATGTGCCCTAGTGTATCAGAATACTTACAGATATATATATATATTTGTAACACTAGCCAGTATGGAATCCGTTTTTCATACTTATCTGCTTGTAATTGTCAGTGTTCATGGCATCATGACATGTCTCCCCTTTAAATTTCAGAATCAACTGATGAGTCTGAAGTTGACAAAACTCACTGTCTGAATAACAGTGTTTCCTCAGGCACTTACTCAGACTACTCGCCTTCCCAGGCTTCCTCGGGATCCTCTAACACCCGGGTTAAAGTGGGGTCCTTGCAGACAACAGCTAAAGATGCCGTTCATAATTCTTTGTGGGGTAACAGGTGTGTTTAGAATTCCCACTTTTCTCTTCCCAAAATACTGTGTTCTGCAACTTTTTTAAAAAAATGGAATCTTCTTAATTTGGAATTGTATTCAGCACGAGTGGCATAGAAGACAGAAGGGCAGGTAAGCAAATGAAGTTCCCCTGGAGACTTCCTAGAGCAAATGAATTCACCGTGCACGATGATACCATTGATTAAGGGAGTGATGGCCAGCTATTAACAGGATGACATGTTAGGAATAGGACTTTTAAAGTGAAAATTTCTGTTTAATCAATACATGTTTAGGAGGGATGTCGACATTTCACCATCTAGTGCATGTGAAACACATGCCTGGCACAAAGTAAATATATAGTCTTAATGTTGCGGTCCTATTTATTATCATCATCAACATATCAACATTATTTTATCATCAGCTGAACTTAGGATGTCTGGAGAAGTATTCATTCATCTTTTCAAATACCATGATACAGATGCAAAAATCAAGAAGTGCAGAGAGCCAGGCACCAGTGGCTCACCCATGTAATCCTAGCTAATCAGGAGGCTGAGATTTGAGGATTGTGGTTCAAAGCCAGCCCGGGCAGGAAAGTTTCTTATCTCTAATTAACTACCAGAAAACCAGAAGTGGCTCTGTGGCTCAAGTGGTAGAGTGCTCACCTTGAGCTGAATCGCTGAGGGACAGCGCCCAGGCCCAGAATTCAAGCCCCACGACCAACAAAAAAAAAAAAGAAAGAAAGAAAGAAAAGAAAAAGAAAAAGTGCAGAGCATGACAAAACAGAAAGAGAGAGGGAGAAAAAAAAGAAAAACAGAATGAACAAGATGGCATTTGTCTTCTATCAGTTCCTACCTTTGGTAGTTGTAATATACAACCATCTTAAACCCCAAGGAGCAAATAAAAACCATCCTAGGATATAAGTAGTGAATAAGATTCATATTTTACTGAATATATCACCCCTCTTGACCATGTCTTCTTTAATAATTCAATTATCACTAATCATCAATGCCCATTTGTTTTATTGGAACTCTTTAAATTTATAAATTCATTATGTGAACTGAGGCAAATTTAGGTAATTTTAGAAGATTTCTTTGAAATGTTCTTTTTTTCCAATTCACAGAAGCATATAAAATCTTGCCTTCACTAACAAAAGATATAGATATAGACAAGGATAGCTATAGATATTGTTTTTAGTGTGTAAATGGTTTGGAATAAGCATTCAAAATTAGCAAATACTAGAGCTATGTTGGAGATGGTCATTGGGATAAACATGCCAATGATCTAAAGTCATAATATAATTTACATTCTAGAAAAAAGATATTTGAGTCTATGTGGGATATAGTCCCTTCAAAGCATGACCAAATTGGAAGACAATTTGGATTTATTAGAAATACTAAGCATTTTTGTAAAGTGCTCTCAAGTAATAGTTTGGAAATACTGAATCAGAATCTCCAGGGATGACTATTTGAAGCCAGGTGATTCTAATGACTTGTCTGTTAGGTTCCAAATGGAATACTGAAGGCTTATGATGGTCAGTCATTCAATCATTCGTTCAGCAAATATGTGTTTAATATCAACTATGTGCCAGGCACTCTTCTGAACCTGAAGAGAGAAAGATTTCTGTTCTCATCAATTTTCATTCGCTCCAAAAGCATGAAGTGATATACAGTAGATGTACTCCCTAAGCTAATTTTACAATATGCTAGAAGATCATTATTACTAAGAAGAAATAAAAAGTACGGTACGGGAGTGAATATGGGTGTGGTGGAATAATAGAAAACTCAATGTTAAGTTAGGGAAGATGAGTCAAGCAGCCTTCTTTGCTGCTTGTTCTCATTCTGCCACAGACCATCTCTTCCTCGTGTTCACGTGTCTTCTTCTTGTGTTGACAGGATTGCACAATCTTTCCCACAGCCTCTTGATGCTAAGCCATTACTCAGCCAGCGGGAGGCCGTTCCTCCAGGAAATCTACCCCAGCGTCCTGACCGGCTGCCAATGAGTGATGCTTTCACTGACAACTGGACTGATGGCTCACATTATGATAACACAGGGTTTGTGGCTGAGGAAACCACAGCGGAGAATGCCAACAACCCTCTCTTAGGTTCCAAGTCGAGAAACAACGCGCCTTCCCACGGACGCAGGCCTCTGATCAGGCAGGACAGGATTGTTGGTGTCCCCCTGGAACTTGAGCAATCTACACATAGACACACGCCAGAAACAGAAGTGCCTCCTTCCAATCCTTGGCAGAATTGGACCCGAACCCCTAGCCCGTTTGAAGACAGGACCGCTTTTCCTTCCAAATTAGAGACAACCCCCACTACCAGCCCCTTGCCTGAAAGGAAAGACCATATCAAAGAGCCTTCTGAGCTACCTGGGCCCTTTTCGCCAGGAGTACCATGGGAGTATCACGATTCCAACCCCAGCAGGAGTCTTGGGAATGTCTTTTCTCAAATCCACTGCCGCCCAGATTCATCTAAAGGTGTTATTGCCATTAGCAAAAGCACAGAAAGGCTTTCCCCACTCATGAAGGATATAAAGTCCAGTAAATTCAAGAAGTCACAGAGTATCGATGAGATTGACATTGGTACCTACAAGGTTTACAACATACCGTTAGAAAACTACGCAGCGGGCAGTGACCACTTAGGAAGCCACGACAGGCCAGACAAACTGCTGGGACCCGAGCACGGCATGATGCCCAGTATGTCTCGAAGCCAGTCGGTTCCCATGCTGGACGATGAGATGCTCACTTACGGAAGTAGTAAAGGGCCCCAACAACAAAAGGCCTCCATGACCAAAAAGGTGTATCAGTTCGACCAAAGCTTCAATCCTCAAGGAGCCGTGGAAGTCAAAGCCGAGAAGAGGATACCTCCCCCGTTCCAGCACAACGCGGAGTACGTGCAGCAGCCCGGCAAGAACCTCGCCAAAGATCTGGTTAGTCCCAGAGCCTACAGGGGCTACCCGCCCATGGAGCAAATGTTTTCCTTCTCCCAGCCGTCGGTGAATGAGGATGCCGTGGTGAATGCCCAGTTTGCCAGCCAAGGAGCCCGGGCGGGCTTCTTGAGAAGAGCCGACTCCCTGGCCAGCTCCACGGAGATGGCCATGTTCCGCAGGGTCAGTGAGCCCCACGAGCTGCCTCCCAGCGAGAGGTACGGCCGACCTGCCTATAGGGGAGGGCTGGATCGCCAAAGCAGCGTATCCGTGACTGAGTCCCAGTTCCTGAAGAGGAATGGCAGGTACGAAGACGAGCACCCTTCGTACCAAGAAGTGAAAGCGCAGGCGGGAAGTTTTCCAGTAAAAAACCTTACCCAGAGGAGGCCGCTGTCTGCCAGAAGCTACAGTACAGAGAGTTACGGGGCCTCCCAGACCAGGCCAGTTTCAGCTAGGCCTACCATGGCAGCTCTTTTGGAAAAAATACCGTCTGACTATAACTTGGGTAACTATGGTGACAAGCCATCAGATAACAGTGATTTAAAGACGAGGCCTACTCCTGTGAAAGGGGAGGAGAGCTGTGGTAAAATGCCTGCAGACTGGAGACAACAGCTGCTTAGACATATAGAAGCTAGAAGGTTAGACAGGGTATGTTTGGCCTTTCTCTGTAAGAATATCCCTCCTGCCTTTCGTTTTCCCTTTATTGGCATTTCTAAGCACGTGTCGTCAAGCATGAACGACATGAATGGATAGAGGGTCAGCACTTTGGATCTTGGTATTGTGGGGGAAATTGATCATGATAGATTTTCCAAGAATGCCGCATACTACTTTCTGAGAATCCATAATGTGCCAGTGAATCAGATATCAAATCTAACCCAAATATTGTTAGTAAGAAAGTATTTACTCTTATTATCTGAGATGGCGCTTCAATTGCTGTCTAGCCATTCAGGCAAGGCAAAATGCTTCTCCTAAAACACAAAACGGTTCTCTAGTGACCTAGAGTATGATTTTTATTGAATCTCTAAAAAAAAAAAGTATTTTGCCCTTTGCTGCACCGACTCACTTATATTAAATCCAGGCCTAATTTGTTTATAAACATTTGCACATAGTCATTTCTATGGGACTACTAAAGTTATTACTTCTAATGAGCAATAATCTTCCCAGCAAGAAACAGAAAAATAAAATAAGCAGAGATTAAATGCCTTCCCACACAATTTCATTTAATAAAAACCCTGCCATTTAGAATATTGTTTTAATACAGGAGGAAATATTTATGTTCAAATCTTGCTATAGACATCAAAAACAGCCAATGTTTTACAAAGACAGCAAATGTACAGATTAGAGTGTACGTGGTAACAAAAAAATAGAAAATAATCTTAAATTAATCCTAATCTAGTAAAAAAAATTGGCTCGTGATAAAATGTAGACTGAGCAGTGATTGTAGAGTTTAAAAAGAAAATATATAAAGGGTAGAAATACATGTTTATTGCCAGTTCAAATCTCTCGACAAGAAATCTGGTGTTTCATTTGTTGAGAACAACCATTAATTTCCCATGACCATTCAATATACTTTGTGGCTTTGGCATAAAGGGCTTTTGTGTGCTCTGCTTTCACATTTGAATTTTTAAGATCTTTTCTGTTTTTGTAGGTGAAAATGGAGACTTTTGTTCTCTCATTTTCAAGGTTTACATGTGATATGTAAATTGAGGATCTGGATAATGTGTTTCTGAAATTTTTACTCAAAAAATTATTACTTTCTTTGGTGTCCTGCTAAATGTATAGGTCACTGCATATATCATGAATTTTTTTTAATATTCAACTTTGTGTTTTCAGGTTTTCTCTCTTTAAGTATAGTATGTGTAGGTCGTGTCTACATGACAAGAAAATGATATTGAGGGAAAGAATGAAGTAATCAATGTGGTTGTGGGTGTTAGTTTCTCAATGTGGAAACTGGTTCTGCCTTACAAAATATTTCATCAGAATATCTGTTTCAAATAGGTGTGCTCAGTCCTATTGAAGGGAACTTCATCAAAGCCTCATGACTGGCTCTCAGGGAGACACCTGCTTGGTTGTCACCACGTCTTACCTCAAGTTATACCCTCCATATAGACAGATAACTTGGAGGGCAAACATATTTGGGGCCAAATAATACAGTACAGTTTGGGAAGTCTGGCCTTGTGTAGACACAACCATATGTTAACAGGGCAAGATAAACTAGTCGAGAAGGGTTATAAGAAGCTTTTTTGGAGCATATGTGCATTGACTAGTAATTGAGGCAACAGAAGAGTGAGTGGAAGCAAAGCATGAAAATGAAAAGCTAAAGGTCTAAGCATCTGGTATCATCATTTATTTACTGATATCTTAAATAAAATGGTTCATTTATCTCCCCAGAGCCATGCTACTGAGAAGTCAATGACTCCTCTAAATGGAACACAAATGGCATGGGGAAAGGGGATAGAGTCTGGGATGGGAACTTGAATCAACAAAAGTCTGGAGGCCCTGCCTGCCCAGATGATTAAAAGTGAATTCATGTGTGGTCTTTGTTGCTGTAATGACACCTCCCTTTTACTGTTCTCTATATATCCTCTGATTATTCTGCCACTTTAGCATATTATTTCAAGTTATCAGAAGCTCTTCCTTTTGTTTTCTCCAAGTAAAAGATTACCCCTCTCTTTCAATTGAGTCACTAAGCAATTCAGGCTATGTCTTATTTTAAATTTCCCAGCTATTCAACAAGATGAATCTGTTCCAAAGCACAGATTTATTACATAAAATTGGTTTTGATATAACTGTGCTCTTTGAAACCCTGCCCAAAGTACAACAGCTGGAGAGACATGGTATGTTCCTTTCCCACTGAAAATGAGTCATTAGACCCCTGCAAATCAAACAGCTATACTAGCAGCTGCAAGATGTTTGGGATAGATGGAAAAGACAACTGCCTAGAGGTTTAGATGTGGGATAATCTTGACAGTCCAATGTAAGAGAGCTTTGGAGAGGCCACTCCAGGTATCATAGTGGAAAGGGGTTGCTTTCTCCTTTAATTTAACCACAAAACATGCTGTGACAGAATTTAAAATGTGAACCCACATATCTGAGGCAGCTACTCTAGTATAAGGGCCAAAAGAACACTAAACTGGAATAACCTAATCCCCAAGAATGCATCCAAGTACAAAATCAAGATGTTTAGTGTCTTTTTCACTCTGGGCATGGTAACAATGACATGTATCTGTTTGAAGTAATCATGAATCCATAACAAGTATGATTGATAGACAAGCACATCAGCAGCAGCATAATAATCTTTCAGCACAGCTCAATGAGACTTTGATGGTAAAAATCATTACTTTGCAAATAATGCTCTCAAAATAAAGTAACTGCATGCTGTTAGTACTCAATAGTATTCACTCAAGTTTTTTTGTTTGACAAAAAGAGAAATACTTTTAAAAGTTAATATTACCAATGAGCACATTTCCATTGAGGTTAAAGGCTTTAGGATAAGGCTTTAAAATACTTTAAATTTTCAGTGAAATAGAAAAAAAAACCTACCTCCATTCACAAATAACAATTTTAGATGTAGATGCTAAAGAGGAGACAAAATGTAAATACTCTGTCGTGTAGATGAGATGCTTAACATGATAAACAACCTTAGCAATCCACAAAATAGAATTGATTTAATAGTATATGAAACTCTCTTGATTTAAGGTGTACTTTTTAATAGTAAATCCGTAAATTCTGATCTACATGCAAATTTTTGGTGGATATAACTGAATAAATAAGGCAATTCAGTCAAGCCAATTTGGACCAAATTGAATGAGTTTTTTGATCAACTGTTTTTCTGACTTGCTGTGTTTCTATCTACCGACTCAGCAAGAAAATATATGATTTTTGCCTTGAACGCTGCAGCGCATCCACTTCAGGCAGAATTAGATGGTCATGTTTGTCTCTCGTATGTGATGGTCTCACAATGTGAAAGAAGCAGTGAGCTCTGTAGCTGACACATTTCGTTTAAAATCTCATTGTTTGAACTTTAAAACTTAATAGATTACTACAGATGAGCAATCCTTGTCCAGAGTCACTACTATCCTGATATATCAGGGAGAGATTTCATGTATCAGAGTTAGCACTAAGTGTAAAGCAGAATGTATCTTCTTTGCTTTCTGTGTTCTCTGTAGTTTTGGATGGTACTCATTATGTGCATAACTAACACTGTTTACCGTATGCTTTTGTCTGATCAATTGCATGTTTTTAAAAGAGAGTTACTGTTTGCCCGCTTAAAGTTAAATGTTATAAATTTAAACATGTTCATGTAATGATCAGTTTGTTGAGCATGTGTTCACATCCTGTCACATGATTATTTCCTCTACTCAGAATGCTGCTTACAAACACAACACAGTTAACCTTGGCATGCTGCCCTATGGAGGTATTTCAGCAATGCATGCAGGCAGAAGCATGACTTTAAACTTGCAGACTAAGTCTAAATTTGATCATCAAGAACTACCTCTTCAGAAAGTAAGTATGGACTGCCCTACATGTGTCAGCATACCAAAGCCAATTAATGTTGTTTGTTCACTTAATGTATTTAGGCTGTACATACAACCCTGATTATTATAGACTCTCATGAGTCCAAAATGTACCAGGGTAAATAATGTAAAGCCTGAATTCTTAGCTGCTAAATGTATTTTTGTAAGACCAATTATCAGGTTCCTGCCATTTGAATTGAGCATTGCTTTTTGGATTGAACAGATACATGGCTTTTTCTGTTGCTTTACAAGTCATTTTTCTTACATATTTTTTTATTCTTTGTTTTTCTTTCTTTTGTGTTAACATGTTTATGCTTTACTCTTTCAGAGGTAGTCCTGACTTCTCTTGATGATACATTTTTAGAATAGAGCTGAACATTATTAGTAGATTTCAACTGATTTCTTTGGAAAAGTCATCAAAACCTAAACTAGAATGGAAATTAAATGGTTGGTGCTTTTAACTGCTTTTCCAGTTTACTTTCTTTATGGCAAATACAATACAGAAATACAAGATGAAAATCAAGTTGTGGCTTAGCCAGCAATTGCTATTCTTCCTAAGTTAATAAAAAAGTAGCAAGTTAACATACGTTTAATAAAAATGTAGGCATAATTAATGGGAATATCCTATAAGAGGATGTTTCAGGCAGTCAACGGTTGCTCATGCCTATAATCCTAGCTACTCAGGAGGCTGTGATCTAAAGATTGCAGCTCGAAGCCAGCCTAGGCAGAAAAAAGTCCATGAGACTCTTATCTCCAATTAACCACCAGAACACCAGAAGTGAAGCTGTGGCTCAAAGTGGTAGGGCATTAACCTTGAGTGAAAAAGCTCAGGGATAGCACCAAGGCCCTAGGTTCAAGCCCCACAGCCAACCAGAAAAAAAGGAAAGAACAAAGAAAGAAAGAACAATATTTCATTGTCAACGAAATATATGCTTATTTTCAACAGGAAAATGTGAGAATGCTTATTCTACATGCTTTCTTTCTTAGTTATATTTTCATAGAGACTAATGAATTATTTTCATACAATATGTCAGTATGTCTACATATTAATGCAGTGATAAGCCTAGAAAGTTTATGTGAAAAAAATGAAAAATAAAGTCAACAGAATGACAACAGTAACCTCCAAACACATTTTCTTTATAGTAAAATAAATAAACAAATTCTTATCCTCCAAGGAATGTCGTAAAATTTCAAAAATCATGTTTTATTGTCAAATTTGTCTCTAATAACTCTATTAGTCTCCCTTAACTCCAAAGAGTTGGTTTTTTGACTCTAGGTAGAATCACAAAATCAATGAGATGCTTATAACTGCATCTTCTTCGCCATTCAATATCACTTAAATGAAACAAAGCAAATCAAGAAACCTAACTAAACCAGAAACTTTGAATATCATTTCACCTTTCCTCAGCCTCCTATGACTTGGCAGTGGAGGGCTGAAAACTTTTTCTCCAAGAGAAATTTACTTTGGGTATTTGCTAATGTCAGCAATATAATTAGTCTCACTATAGCCAATTTCACAGTAGCAAATGCATATCATTGGAATCAAAATTGGAACAACTTGGATATAAATGGCTCCTGTGAGCCAGTACAAGTTGGCTCCAAATGCCACCCCATGACCATTTTACGTGATTCCCTACTTTAATACTATCTGTCTTTCATGGCCCCTCAGATGGCAGGTGCCCAAGGCTCTCATCCTGTTTCCTAACAAAAGAAATTTTCTTAGAACTTATCAGCACTATGAAATAGAAAAAATGTTACTTGGGTAGACACCTCTCCTAGAAGGCTTGGGAATTCAATAGAAATAAAACTAGTTTCAAAAAAACAAACTTTCAAAACCCAGTGAGCAGATTAAAGAGATTTGGGTATGAAGGAAGCTATTGCTTCCTGAATCATCTGAAATTATATTAAATGAAAATTCCCTTATTTTGCCTAGTTTTGGGCCCTATTCACTCTTCAATCTACATACTAATACAGATGTGGGCAGTATCTGAAAAAAATCACAATATACCCAAAATGGCGTGGCTCAATGTCTAAATTATTCTTCAGTAATAAATTAGGGACATGTACATTGCTATATTAATTTTATGATGTAGTTTTGGATACCCTGGAGAATGACTTGCTTATCCATAAATATAGCTATAAGATGTTCTTTAATAGGAATAATACAGAGTTGTATTCAGGGATTTTTCAACCATCCCCTTCTTTTGAACACAGAGATGACCTACAAGCTTTCTTTTTGGAGACTATTAAATTATAAATCAAGGATGATTGCAAGTATATGCCATAGTAAAGTAGTTCACAATGATTAATGAATTACTAGCAATATTTTATGTCCTACATAAAGAAGTAGGAAGAAGAAGAGGTAGAGGAGGAGAAAAGGTAGAGAAAGGAAGAAAAGAACCAGAGAAGACAAATACTCCCTATGTCAGAAGACATTATGATTCAAAAAGTATCCATTTAGGGTTTTAAAATATATGTAATACTCAGCCTGGCATGGAATAAAGAAGAAAAATTACAGATATTCAAAATACATAGCAAAATATATTTCTCAAAAGTGTCAGGTTCTGCTCTCTCTCTCAGATTCCAATTGAAGCTTCTGTCCTTTGAGCCCAACTATATTTCTAGGGATTTTTTTGATGGTTTTTTCCTTGGCTTGGGGCTTGAACTGAGGGCATGGGCACTGTCCCCAGAGTCACTGGCACCTGCCTCTCCTGCAGAGTTTTGATTTTGGTTTGCTTAATTTTCCTCACGTACTACACAATCTTTCTTAAAGTACATGCTCTCTTGCTGGATGCTTCTGGCTCACACCTGTAATCTTAGCTACTCAGGAGGTTGAGACCTGAGGATCTAGGATTTAAAGTCTGTGAAACTGTTATCTCCAACTGAGCACCAAAAATGCCCCGGAGTGGAACTGTAGCTCAAGTAGTAGAGTGCTAGCCTTGAGCAATAAAGCTCAGGGACAGCACCCAGGCACTGAGTTCAAGACCAACACACACACACACACAAACACACACACACACACACACACACACACACACACACACACACACACTATGCGTTCTCTGAAATTGACTGTTCTTTGGCTTTCCTAGCCATTGCAAACATCTCACATGATGGAGAACACATTTCCTGTGAACCCTTCTTGCCAGAAAAGATAGGCTAAAAATTAGTTGTAATTGAAATCTATTACAACATTTTTACTACTTAAAATAATAAAATGAGTGTCTTGGGCATTTGAGATATTTGTCCAGTAACTAAATGCTTGCTATTTATAAGAATTGCACTACAATGTAAGGTGACATCAATTATAACAATTACCAGTTAACAAAAGTGACCGTTTTCTTGAGGAAATTATGTAGTTGTCTCTATTATTCATAAGTACCCTGAGTGATAATTCTAGCCATCTCAAATTAAATGTTGTGACTATTTACACTGAGGTTTCCTACAAAGAGTGAGTAAAGCTTCCCAAGGAATCTAAATTAATGTTTTCACCTTTGAGAAGTTAAGCACATATCTAGGTAGGTGATACCCTTTCCAGAGAGCAGTTAAGGGGCTAAAATCAGATCCTAGTATCATTCTCTCTGCTTGTCAATTCTTGCTTCCTGCAAGTAGCAGGTAGGAGCTCTTGTCTTGAAACTAATTTCTGTTAACTAATTAGATATAACTATTTATGAATAAAGATAGGAAAGTCTGGGCACTTGATAAAGTACTTATATTGTGAATACTTAGTGAAAGGAAAGAGAAGACTCTTCTAGATTTTATTTATTTTGAATAGTTCTCATTTTAACATAGTTATTATATACCAACTCAAATGTTTTATATATATATTCTATGAAGGCCTTCTTTTATATAAGCTTTCTGTAATTAAAAAAGTAAATTATAATTTTTTGGAACTCTTAAACTTTTCTTTAATGCTAACAAATAGCAATCTTAGTATAAAGATTTAATATTTTCTTTGATTGATGCCCAGAAAGTGTAATAGTATGCATAATCTAGAACATTTGATGTATGTCAGCTACAAAGCTATAAAATTATTAGTATTTTCTATTTGTTTTTATTTATTCATTTATCCATTTATCCATTCATCATTTTTTCCTGCCTTTCCAAAAAGCACTCAAGGCAACTTTCTAGAATGTAATTAATGGTTCCATGTGCTTTCTCTGGATGTGTTCTGTTGTAACTGAGCAAAGCTATTGTCTCAAAATTTTGTGTTATCAGAGAGAAATACAACACTAAAGAAAAAAACAAGTCATTTCAAACTATTATTTTTATTACTAGATGATTAACAGAATAAATAAGTATTTCCACTGACAGGCAAAAACAGTCTAGGGATTATTGAAAATCTACGCATTCTTAGTGTCAGGAGATATTTTGAACATGATTTTTTTTTGGTCTGGTAACTCAGAAACAAAGCCCGTAAAACATATTCATTGCTGTGGAAATAAATGAGGAAACTGAGGAATCACACCTGCACGTTTACTGGTTTACTGTTAGATCCCCTGGACCTGGCAAAGTAGTAAATTGAATTTAAACCCTACTCTGCTTGGTACTCAAACCTATGCTCTTTTTTCTATATGATGTTGTTTTCTCATGTATTTGTAAAACTTGACATTACCATAGAACATGGCTCATGATAGTTGATTAAGTTCCTCAGTAGTCATTATTATCTTACATTATCTTTTTTTAAAAAAATCTAGAGAAGTAGCTATTATGAAATGGAAAAAAACAGTGCATAAGTAGAATATCTTAATCAGACAACATGCAATCCTAGTTATTCCCTATATACCACAGGTATAGTGATCTCTTAGCTGAGGTAAATAAATGCTAGTAATTACTTTGTGCTTTGTCAGATCCACTTGCATTTTCTCAGATTAGGGACCTAAAAGAAATCACTAAATCATCAGGCTGCTGCAGCCCCAGAGACAAACAGGACTGGGGTAGAAATCAATAACCTTTCCTTAAGCTCCTCATTCCAGGGTAGCTGGTTACTAATGTAGTGTTGTCTCTTCAACAGTGGAGAAATTGGTAATCTCTCCTTTAAAAAATTATTATAATATTATACCATAAAATCTATCACTTACTGGCTTATAAAATCAGATATTGATATAAATTAAACAGTATCAGGGAAAGGGAGCCTAAATTCATAAAAATGTGTGTGTTATATAATTGTTTCATAGAATTTTGCCTGGAAGAGCATGGTCTCGCTGCCAGTTTTATTGGTTTAAAAAAAATATAGTTGATACTCATCTCACCAGCTATGAGAAATTTATGTAGCAATGTATATACCTAAACTGTGTTTAAATTTCTAATGTTCCTTCTCACTGAATCTTACTAAATGTCTTGGGATCAGAGCATACCACCATTTCATATGCATTTATTAAACTTGGTGCAAAGGGTTACTTAATGCCATTTTTTCCAGCTGAAAACAAAGCAAGATCTATGTTGCACTTCAGGGCAACTCATGTCTATAATTTCTATTGATTTTGTTGCACTTATTAATGGCTACCTATCTGTCAAGAATGATTTGCTTACCTTTCTAATTCTGAAATAAAAAAGCCTTCAGTTTGTAAATACACACAAATCCCCATAGACAGTGGCAAAATTCCTAAAATAATTTTCATGTCCCTATGAATGCTTCATCACCATTACAATGAAATGTAGATTGAGAAATTACTTGGGCATTCCACTATGCTTACAGATGGAACCCATGAAGCCACAAGCATTTATACCTTAGCTCAGCACATACCTACTTTTGTAATACCTATTTTTTTTCAAAAGACATGCTGAAAAATAATTTTAATGAAAGTACTTTGGCAAATTATCATTTAATGGCTTTGGTTGGTGGTAGTAACAGGTTGTTTTGTTCATTTGTTTGCTTACTTAATGCAAGGCTTTGCTATATAAACTGTGCTGCCCTCCTACTCATGAATACTGAGATTACAAGCATGAACCACCACACTGCCAGGGAAAATTATTTTGAATACATTATTTTGATCACATTTTATAAATTTATGGTAATGTTCTTTACTAATCACAGGTCAATTACTAAACTAACTAGATCTTTGTGTTCATAAGGGATCTGTCCCAAGACCTGGCCAAAATGCCAATTGCTATTGCCACTGTCATATAGTTTCTTCAACAAAATAGCAATAAGAATTTCACAAGCATAGTGGATGCCATCAGATAAGAACAATGCTGCTCACATGTGTGCAGACATATACTTATGAAAATATACAAATATTTATAAAGACATACATATGTACATTTTATGTCTCAGCAAAATTAGAACTTACTTCTTTCGATAGATATGATTATTCATGGTAATCAAAATCATAAATATTCAATCTACAAATGTCCTCACTAGCTTTTGGGATTAGTGTCTGCTCAGCAATCCTTCTACTCAGCAACATAGAACTTCTTATCCATTTATCTGTGTAAGTGGTTATATATGATGCAAAAAATAAGATTCACCTTACTCTATAAAGTATCTACAGATTGTATCAAGTATGTGGCATGAGAAATAACTGAATTAAATGCTGAACTTTAATTGTTTTCTGTAATAATAGATTTTCAACATGTATGGCCTCAGCTTTCTTACATTATCCACTTGCTACTTTTCATCATTTTAATTTTTTATCTATTACAGAAATTTAGCAACTAAACAACTGAAATTAAAACAATAGACATACTCTATTGAGAAAGAATGTGAATGTATTATATGTAATCCTCTGTTGTTTTTGGGTTTTTTTGTTTTGTTAGTTTTGTTGTTGTTGTTGTTGTTGTTGTTGTTTGAACCAGGTGTGAGGCTTGAACTCAGGGCCTGGGCACTGTCCCTGAGCTTTTATGCTTAAGGCCAGCACTCTACCACTTGAGGCACAGCTCCATTTCTGGCTTTTGTTTTGTTTTGTTTTTGGTGTTAATTAGAGAAAAGAGTCTCACAAACTTTATTGTCCCATCTGGCTTCAAACCTCAATCCCTAGATCTCAGCCTCCTCAGTAGCTGGGATTATAAGCATGAGCCAATGGCTCCCAGCCACAATTCTTTTTTGGTCTTCATACCCCCACCACAATGCAGTATCAATAGGTTGTCTTCTTTATATTTCTGCAGATTAAGTTGTTCCCAGGGTGAGTCATTTAAGAAAAAATAGTCAGGAGACTCTTGAAATTAATGAAACAGCTGTCAAGACATCCCCTTAATTTTGCTGTGTAATCAAAGTACCTCTTTAATGTTTCCGCATGTTTCTGTTCCCTTTGTCCTCTGTTATAGAGAAGAATTGCTTTCAGTTTTAATTCTAACTTTAAAGGTGCAGATTAATTTTTAGATTCATGAAGAGGCTAAACCATTATGACATTAAAATTTTGATAAAGATTTAACCTCTTTCATGTGCCAAAAAGAATTTTGCAGCTCTCAGCTGCTTTTTAATGATAACTAGGAGTTATATCTGGGTAGGTAAGCAAGCATAGAAGAACTAGAGAAATGGTATGGATAAAGAAAGTAAATCTGTGTTGAATTCTGGCCACTTCTCAAAAATTTGAATTGCACAGACCTGGCAGATAAACAAATTTATTATCCTATCTCATTGGCAAAGAAACCAAACTAGCACAATAGATGGAAACTGAAAATTCAGAAAATGCTAACCAATACTACTTAAGCCTTATAACTAGGTTTTAATTGCTTAAGTGTACTATTTTATCACATTTCAATATGATAAGAAAAGAATATATGTAAGAAAAATATGCATGAGCATATGTGAACATATTTATCTGGAAAAAATAAAGACTAGAAACTTCATGCTTGTAACCAGACAAGCACTGACCACACTCCAGATCACTTTCCTGTTCTTAAAATATATTATCCACATTTTACCATGCAAACACAAATCAAATCAATCCTAACGAACTCAACAGCTTACATTCAGGAACTTTTTCTCCCTTTTCACACTTCCTCCTGGGTTTGTGAAAAAAAATTAACCAGACCAAAGTAAAAGAGGAAAAATGAGTTAGCTATTGTTCTTTATATCCATTAGCTCCACCACAGACTTGATAGAATATTATCATGAATCCTGTTTTAAAATACTTCTGAGCAGTACTTCTTTAAAAAAAGGCATGTGACAAGAATATATATTGGGTGGCTATATAACTAAAGGAGAATAAGCTAGTTCCAGTCCTATCATCAGATGAAGGCTGGCAAGCAGCTCCCGTGTGTATGTCATGGTAAGAATGGCCTCCTTTTCTGGGATTGAAAGAAAATGCTTTGCACAAAGTACAATGGTACATACACACTCTACCCATGTTTTATCAGTAGGATTCCTTCTGAACTAGTGCAAAAATGGCATAGGATAATAGCTCTATTACATAAAATTTCCCCAGGAAACCAAGAAGTATTTTTACTAAAAAAATAGTTGCATACACATTCTCTCTGTATATATACCATACCACTATGTATCTCTCCCCTGTAGGCTAACATTCTGTTGATGTGGGAATCTATTAGTAATTATTGGAATCTAATAGTGGAATCTAATATTAAAAGCTACTATTAGAAGCCAATTGCTACTAATATTAGAACCTAATAATGATATTTCTGTTGTTATTTGTTAAAACATAATAATGATATTTCTGTTGTTATTTGTTAAAAAATGAATCAGGCAAAAGATTTTACCTTATCAAGAGTTTAAACTTTAATATACACTTGATCTATACAAATAAATAAGTTGGTAACTAAAACAGTCATGATTTATTTACAGTGTGCTTCAAATATAATCATTTCTTTTAGGCTGCTTTATTAAACGTTTCCCTTAAATCTGCTTATCAGTAATGGCACAGTACCATAAATCTTGAACCATGCTAGTATTAATTCTATTTTGGATTAGTGAGAGCTGTATCTCCCCAAATTATTATTGCAGTATTATAAGACTTATTTTTAGTCTGTGGCTTGGAATAGTATAAGCTCTAAACTATGGTTTATATGGTTTCAATTTATATTTTAAATGGTAAGATAGAAATAAATTTAAATGGTAAGAAGAAATAAATTAAGGAAACGTAAAATATTGGTATTTTTAACAATTGATTAGTTTTATTCTGATTATTTGTATTCAGGTACTGTAAATAATCTAAACTTGTATTTAAAATGTAACAAATAACTCTTAGATGGTTCTTTTAATTGTATTTTTCACTGCTTCCTAAAAGCTATCAACTTAGAATTATTGCTCAGTAAATAGTATATATTAATACTACCAGTTAGGTTATATGTTTTTCTACAACACACAAAATTAATTTTACCATAATTATTAGGGACTCTTTTCAGAAAACTATGATAAGCTTCTATTACATCACTAAAGAATGCCATACCATTTTCGCAATAGACCCCGTCCCAGCAAAGCAACATTTTAGACAATGGACAAGAAGATCTATCTCCTAGTGGCCAATGGAATCCTTATCCACTTGGGAGGCGGGATGTACCTCCGGACACCATTACTAAAAAGGTAATCAATTTCAAATTGATAACAAACCATCAACCAGGCACCTTCATTGTAATTTCAAATTGATAACAAACCATCAACCAGGCACCTTCATTGTAATATGTAATCCATATTTTGTGTCTTAACATCATTCTTACCTTTGTGAACAATTTAGTCTAAACCTCATCCCGTCTTATAAAAATCATTCAACTATTAAATCCATTGAAAAGAATAGAAAATGAACATGGCTAGATGCTCAGAGTTAGCTATGTATGTTTTTAAACATCCCTAACATCTCTGTGCAGACACTGCCAGTCTCACAAGGATTTTAAGAAATTCTTTGAAGTGCAAGTACAGAAAGCTATGTGACATATCTTTCTGTCTCTCTTGCCTTCAATGGTGTCTTGTACCCCCGTGGTATAAAATAATATTGGATCACATAAAGATTTGGTACACCATTTCTGAAATTGTGACAGCTAATTGAACAAAAACACTTAGTGAGCAACAATATGTACATCAGTAAGGTGCTGAGCACTCTCTAGGTGCTAGAGAATAAAAAATGAAAAAATATATTTACCTGAAGAGTTTTTTAATCTAAGGAAGTACATGAAGTGTATTGGCAGCCTTTCTATTACATGATAGGACATTATAAGGGGAGTGAAACAGAAAGCCATACCAGGAGGAAGATTTTTGCCACATATGTAGGAGGCAAATTATGTCTATTATTCCATAAGTATTTTTAAAGCTCATACTAATCACCGTAGGAACTGTGTGTACAATTCTTAAATTTTAAAAATTCCAGGGAGCAAAGAGAATGAATAAGTAAATTAATATTAAAACAAATTGAAGCCTTCTGTCACTAAAGGAAATGAAAACGAGATGCCATTTTACATTTACCAAACTGGTAAAAATGAAGAAGTCTAGAAAACAAAAAGAGGTTTGAAAGTATAGGAGACATTTTACACTTCCAAATTGAATACAAAACACACACCACTCTGATAAGAAATCACATTGTGAAATTGAACATACTCTACATCCAGCAAATCTCCTCTAAATTAGAAAAAATCTCCTTTAAAGTAGAAAAACTCTTACACACATCATTCAAGGGATGGTCAGTGCTTACAATATCAGAAAACCAGGCAAACAAATTTCTATCAACAGAAAATTGCTCAAATTCTGTTATGCCATGAAGAAATACTCATAGAAATTAAAAAAGTATGCCTGCTTATCATGCTCAAGGCCCTGAACTCAAAGCCTGGTACTATCAAATAAATAAGTAAATAAAATAGTAAATTATGTCTACAACCATGTCTTGGAAAACGTAGTTCAAATGGGAAAATATTTCAGGAACATGAGGAATATGATGTTTTTAAATCTCAGAAAAAAAAAACTGGAAGTGGCTCAAGTGGTAGAGAGCTCACCTTGAGCTGAAGAGCACAGGGACAGCGCCCAAGCCCAGAGTTCAAGCCCCACGACTGACCAAAACAAAAACAAAAAAAGAAACAAACAAAATTAAAAACTACTAAGTATGTGCATAAGAAAACTATTTTATAAAGACATAGAATTTTATGCTTCTAAAGAGAATGCACAGAGTAAGATCAGAGAAGTGATTGATACCGTTTAATGCTGCTAAAATTCTAAAATCCAATATGGTTCTTCAGCTCTACTTTTTAAACTTTGCTGTGTATTTTTTAATTAGAATGCATTCATTACTTATAGATATATTGCATCATTGCATATAGTCTTTGTAACTCTGGTGATTTTTCCCTGGTGACTTTAATGCTCTGTGTGTGTGTCTGTGTGTGCACACACACGCACACATGCGCACATGCACACACACACACACACATGCACACATGCACACACACACACACACACACACGTATGCCAGTCCTGGAGCTTGAATCTCCGGTTTGGGTACTGTCCCTAAGTTATTTTTTTGCTCAAGATTAGCACTCTACCACTTGAGCCACAAATCTAATTCCAGCTTTTTATTTTTTTGTGGTTAATTGGAAATAGGAGTCTCACAGACTTTCCTGCCTGGGGTTGCTTTGAACAACAATCCTCAGATATCAGCCTCCTGAGTAGCTAGTACTCCAGACAGTAAGCCAAGAACATTCGGCTGATGTCAATGCTTTTTAAAGATATATTTCATATCTAAAATAATTGGTAATACAATTGATATGTAGAGACCGTGCTTATTATTAATTTGCCTATGCGATAATATCTAGCACTAAACAGAATGTAATGTTTATTGTGCTTCGTGCAAGGAGCACAGGATGCCAACTATGACAGGGAATACTATGAAAAGGGAACACATTTAATGAAGAAACCAAAGGAATTTAAGGATAGTCTTACTTAGTGTCAAATAAGATTGGAAAGAAGGAAACACCAGATTATTCTGGGCTTTATCCTTTAGGAAATGGGAAGGGGAAATGTGAAGTACTTTAAAGGGGGAAAAGAAATGTCAAATTTTCATTAAAAGACCACTCTGAGAACTTTTCAGAGATTGAACTAAAGGAGAAAGGGTGGAGACAGGAACAACAATTAAGAAGCTTCTCTAGTTATCCAAAAGATAACAGATGGAAACATAGATGATAGGCAGAAAGGCACAGGTCTCATATAGTCTTAATCGTTAGAGCCAAAAGCATCTTGTGTTTGACTGGACATAGAGCATAGAGATAGGTAAAACCACTAAGGTTGATAACCAGGTTGCTAAAGTGGTTGAGCTAGTGATGTCATTCCATTCACTGAAATGGAAACTATAGAAAGAATAAGTGATGGAAGGGAGAAAGAAGGAGAGCTTCAATTTTAATATATTGGTTTGAAGTATCTTTAGGACAACCATATGGATATTTGATTATCTATCTGAAGTTCAGTAGTGAAGGCTGAGCTGATGAAAAGCATTTGCCAATCATCAGTGTATGTTATAATTCAGCCTTCAGTGAGACAGACAAGGATTGTGCCAAGTTCTATGGAAACACTAACATTTACAAGATGTACTTTGGAATAAGATACAGAGGGGAAAAGCCAAAGTTTTACCCAATAGAAATCTCCACCATATGTTGTAGCAACTTCAAGGCAAATAGTCTTGCATAGAAAAAAACTGCAAATGAAGATTTAGATAAGAGACAAACTGATGAAGATCTAGAGACTGGGGTTTATTCTTCTGTTCTATGATTCATAAGGACCTAGATGTTTTTAACTTTCCACAGTCACCCATAATCTTGTCCTAAAGCTGGTTTCTCTCAATGATAAGATGATTCCAGGGACAATTGGTGCTACCCATTTTCTCTTTCAAGGCCAGCAAGGAGACAAGCTTCCAATGGCTGTCTCTTATACGTAAAACCTTTCTCCCTCAAATCAACAAGCCTCTCTCTATATTTTGTGGATTCCAACTAGCTAAGCACTTTCTATTAAAGAAAAAGAAATGATGTAGTTCTGAGTTTGGCTTTAACTAATTAGTTGGACTAGATGGGACTAATAGACAAGATGGAACTGACATCTCTAATGAAAACTAAAGAATAACATACAGAAGAAATTCAAGATAATAGGATACCTTTGGAACCAACAGGAAAAATAAAATATTTCAAAGAGGTTATGGTCAATAGCATCAAATGATGCCCTCAGAAAATCAACAAGGTCTCTATGATGAAGAAAAGGCTCCCTGAATTTGGAAACCTAAAAAACCCAATAAAGGAGTTTCTATTTGGAAAAAAGGTAGTGTAATGAATGTGGTATAAAAATGACTATAAGGAAAACAAAAGGGGTATATAGGAATGATATATGTCTGAACATTTATAAAGGCTGGAGAAGAGAAGTGATTAGTGAAGGGGAAAATGGAAGTGCTGGACAGGAAAGGAGAGAATCTGCTTCATATGAGAAAGAAAGGTTAATATGTACATTTCGTAGGCTATTGAAGGAATACATCATATTCAGTTATGTAATTGTAAAAGACTGTTAACGTTTTTGTCTTCCAAGAAAAATTCTTTTTTATCTTTAAGTAGTAGTACAAAAGCACAAACAAAGCAGTTTGTGAATTCAGTGCATCTTGTTCAATGTCACCTCTTTCAATATTCTTACCGGGCTACTTTAACTAGTTAATTGGACTAGATAGGACTAATAGACAAGGCTACTCCTTCCCTTACTTCTCTTAATTTTGTAGGATATGCATTAAATTTTTACTGCATTCTTCTCCCTTTCTTCTCTGCATTTCTCTACCTCCCTCCTCTTGACCCCACCCCCTGTCAAGTATCCATTCCAATAAAAATTCTTAATTATTTATTACTCTAAATGCTTACATTATCTATATATACACCCATTCTTCTTAAGTTTATTTGAAAAGTCCATAACAATATGTTAAATCATAGTATCAGTTCAAATGAGGATGATCGTTTTCTTGCATCACTACTTACTCTAGGAACCTCCTATCATTCTATGATTGGTTATAAACATCTGTGAAATCATTAGCTTCATCAAAGGCCAAAGTAATTGTTTAATCTACCTGAAAACCTTATTAGGTTGAGCATCCCTAAAGAGATTTAAAATCAAAAGGAAATATCTATACAGACATGTTGAGACAGAAATAGCAGTGCTAAGGTAACCTTAAATAAATATGAGTTCAAACACTTCCCTTCTACAACAGGCAACTAAGAATCTACAAACCCCTGTCAATATGTATTTGAAAATTCTTTAATATGTGAATTTGAAGTATTCAAAGGTCTCCTTTAGTATTCCTGAGTCTACCCTCCCTGAGTGCCTGTCTTTTCTAGAGTGTTCAAGGTTAAGTTCAAAGAGACTTGACAGTTAGAAAGGTAAGGATGGATAAAAAGGGTCAGTATCAATGGACACAAGTGAAGACAAAGGTATAAATGGTTGCTGATTAAGTCTTGACTCACAAAACACTCCCTTTATGCTGAACTTCCCTGTGACTTCCCACATCTATACTGTTAGCTCAACCATTAAGGGCTTGTGATTTGCCAGGACATCATCTATGAGGCAAGTAAAGAAATTTATTATATAAA